GTTTTGATTACTGTAGCTTTGTAGTATAGTCTGAAGTCAGGGAGCCTGATTCCTCTAGGTCCATTTTTCTTTCTCCAGATTGCTTTGGCTATTTGAGGTCTTTTGTGTTTCCATACAAATTGTGAAATTTTTTGTTCTAGTTCTGTGAAAAATGCCGGTGGTAGTTTGATAGAGATTGCATTGAATCTGTAGATTGCTTTGAGTAGTATAGTCATTTTCACAATGTTGATTCTTCCAATCGAAGAACATGGTGTATCTCTCCATCTGTTTGTATCATCTTTAATTTCTTTCATCAGTGTCTTATAATTTTCTGCATACAGGTCTTTTGTCTCCCTAGGTAGGTTTATTCCTAGGTATTTTATTCTTTTTTGTTGCAATGGTAAATGGGAGTGTTTCCTTGATTTCTCTTTCAGATATTTCATCATTAGTGTACAGGAATGCAAGAGATTTCTGTGCATTAATTTTGTATCCTGCTACTTTACCAAATTTATTGATTGGTCCTAGTAGTTTTCTGGTAGCATCTTTAGGATTCTCTGTGTATAGTATCATGTCATCTGCAAACTGTGACAGTTTTACTTCTTTTCCGATTTGGATTCCTTTTATTTCTTTTTCTTCTCTGATTGCTGTGACTAAAACTTCCAAAACTATGTTGAATAATAGCGGTGAGAGTTGGCAGTCTTGTCTTGTTCCTGATCTTAGTGGAAATGGTTTCGGTTTTTCACCATTGAGAACGATGTTGGCTGTGGGTTTGTCATATATGGCCTTTATTATGTTGAGGTAAGTTCCCTCTATGCCTACTTTCTGGAGAGTTTTTATCGTAAATGGGTGTTGAATTTTGTCGAAAGCTTTCTCTGCATCTATTGAGATTATCATATGGTTTTTACCCTTCATTTGCTAATATGGTGTATCACATTGATTGATTTGCATACAATGAAGGGATAAATCCTCACTTGATCATGATGTATGATCCTTTTAATGTGCTGCTGGAATAAACCTGTGATAAACCCCACTTGATCATGGTGTATGATCCTTTTAATGTGCTGCTGGCTTATGTTTGCTAGTATTTTGTTGAGGATTTTTGCATCTGTGTTCATCAGCGATATTGGCCTGTAGTTTTCTTTTTTTGTGACCTCTTTGTCTGGTTTTGGTATCACAAGTCTCTGAGTCCATCCTCAGTTCTTTTCATTCTTTTTTCTTTATTCTGCTCTGTGGTAGTTATTTCCACTATTTTATCTTCCAGGTCACTTATCTGTTCTGCTGCCTAAGTTACTCTGCTATGCTTCATTCTAGAGAATTTTTAATTTCATTTATTGTGTTGTTCATCATTGTTTGCTTGCTCTTTAGTTGTTCTAGGTCCTTGTTAAACATTTCTTGTATTTTTTCCATTCTATTACCAAGATTTTGGATCATCTTTACTATCATTTTAGATTTTGGATCATCTTTAATATCATTACTCTGAATTCTTTTTCAGGTAGACTGCCTATTTCCTCTTCATTTGTTTGTTGTGGTGGGTTTTTACCTTGCTCCTTCATCTGTTGCATATTTCTCTGTCTTCTCATTTTACTTAACTTACTGTGTTTGGGGTCTCCTTTTTGCAGGCTGCAGGTTCGTAGTTCCTGTTGTTTTTGGTGTCTGCCCCCAGAGGGTAAGGATGGTTCAGTGGCTTGTGTTGGCTTCTTGGTGGAGGGGACTGGTGCCTGTGTTCTGGTGGATGAGGCTGGATTTGTCTTTCTGGTGGGAAGGACCGCATCCGGTGGTGTGTTTTGGGGTGTCTGTGAACTGAGTATGATTTTAGGCAGCCTCTCTGATAATGGGTGAGGTTGTGTTCCTGTCTTGCTAGTTGTTTGGCATGGCGTGTCCAGCACTGTAGCTTGCTGGTTGTTGAGTTGAGCTGGGTCTTAGTGTTGAGATAGACATCTCTGGGAGAGCTCTCGCTGATTGATATTACATGGGGCCAGGAGGTCTTTGGTGGTCCAGTGTCCTGAACTCGGCTCTTCCACTTCAGAGGCTCAGGCCTGACACCCTGCTGGAGCACCAAGACCCTGTCTGCTGCACGGCTGGAGTACCTTGACAGTAGGAGAAGCTGGCCTGCAGTGGTTCTCCTTCTGCGCTACACATTAGAATCACCTGTTTCTTCCTTGTTTTGCCCCAAAGGCAGTGTTCCACAGAGAAAAACAGTAGCCTTGAAAATAGTCACAGCTCTAAGACTGCTTTCTTTTTCCCTTTGTGCTTAGTTGGGTTTCACTTGCTCACAGGGGGCCACGTGCAGAGGCCTTGCACCCAGCTCTTCTGACCGGAGTTCCTAGTGTGGAATGGCTACCGCTAGCACCTCAGCTCAGGCGGGCCGTGTGCGTGGGTCTGATGCCTTTTTAAGGCATTTTTCTTTAGGTTCTTTTCTGATTTCCTTCATGATTATTGGTCCTTTTGGATTTTCTGTTTTTTCTTGAGTTATGTTAGTTATATTTCCTTAAAAAGCCATGTATTTCATCTTTGTGTTTAAATGTATTAGTAAAATATCTTATATGTTGTTTTATGATTTTTAAAGTCTTCATACCATTTCTCTTACATTCTTAATGTCTTTTTTTTAATGAGACTTGATTGTCTGGTTTTTTGTAGTATTTTTAAAGAACCAGTTTTTTCTTTCATTAATTAGTTCTATACTGTCTCCCCACCCACCCCAATTTCATTAATTTCTATTGTTTACTAAAGGTTTTTTTGCCTCTATTTTCAAACAAGTTAGGTTCTAAAAGTCTCATGATAAGTGTATTTGTTTATAACACCAAAATGACTGAAGGATTTGTTTGCATTCCTTACTGCATTTTCTAATAGGATTGTGAATCAGTCCTTTGAGACTTTAAAACCAAGCAAGCCACTCTTCTCTTCCTGCTGATAGGTAGTCTATAGGGCAGTGATTTTAAGACTTTAGTGTGCATCAGAATCACCTGAAATAAACAAAGTAGAAAATGTAAATATTGTAGTTCTATCCATTACACTTTTTAAAACAAAAGCTCCAAAATTCTGATTATCGCTGGGATAAATCCAGTTCTTTTTTTTTTTTTTTTTTGCGGTACGCGGGCCTCTCACTGTTTTGGCCTCTCCCGTTGCGGAGCGCAGGCTCAGCGGCCATGGCTCACGGGCCCAGCCGCTCCATGGCATGTGGGATCTTCCTGGACCAGGGCACGAACCTGTGTCCCCTGCATCGGCAGACGGACTCTCAACCACTGTGCCACCAGGGAAGCCCTAAAGCCAGTTCTTTATGTTTATAATCTTTGGTCTCTGTTGCCTTCAGTGTGTTTAATTACCCTCTTAGACAGTTACAGTTAGCATCTGTACCAGTTTGCTCATTGTTATTTTTTTCTTGATTGCTCCTTGAGTGTTTTCTTCCAAGGTTGCATTTTCAGTTTTGTATGGACTTTTTTCTGTTTTATCTCTTTTTCTTCCTTCTTCTCTCAATTTTAGTTTTCCAAAAATGAGGAATTCTTAAAATACTTACGTAAAATTCCCAAAGTATTTTATGAGAGAGACGCTCTCCTGGTTTTGTGGTAGGAATTTTTGAATGGGTACAACATTTCTGGAATGCAGTTTTGGAACTAGTATCAAGCTTTATATTTGTTTACATATTTTTGACCTATAATTTATCGAAAGGAAATAATCTGAATTTGGATGTATGCTTATGTACAAAAATATTAACCACAGTTTTATTTGTAATTGTGACAAATTGGGAACTCAGTATCCGTAGTAGAGCAGGGGTTAATTGCATTATGGTATAGCCATGGGATAGAATATTGTGCAGCTATTAAAAGTATTTACAAAGAGTTTTTTAATGATGTGAGGAGGTGCAAATGCTAAAGGATTAAAAAGCATGATTAAATTGTGTAAGCAGGTTGGTCTCATTTTGTTAAATTTAACTATGTGTGTTATGTGTGGTGTCAGTATAAGCGTATAAATGACTCGAAAGGAATATTCCTAAATATTTAGAATGACTCCTTGGATGAGATCATCGGTTATTTGTGATTTCTTTCTTTATGCCTTTAAGAGAATGTATAACTTTCAAAATGAGAAAAATACTCTTTATTTTTAAAATGTATTTAGGATTTGATAGTGTTCATCAACAAATTATTTAACATTTTTAAAATTTGTTATTGAATGAAAGATTCTTTAAATTCTTTAGTGCTTTACAGTTTTTAAAGTTTCACATACATAATTTTATATAATCCCATAATAACCCTTTTTTAATCCTCTAACCCTATATAGCCCCTCCGCCTTCCTTCTCCTCACTGATAACCACTAGTTTGTTCTCTGTATCTGTGAGCCTGCTTCTTTTTTGTTTTATTCACTAGTCTGTTGTATTTTTTAGATTCCACATATAAGTGATATCATACAGTATTTTTCTTTCTCTGACTTATTTCATTTAGCATAATGCCCTCCAAGTCCAACAACAGAAATTATTAAGATAGATTAGTGGTATGATTCAAAGAGGTACCAGAGATTTCAGAGTTACAACTATGTTCAAATTTTATTGTTGGTGAAATGTAAGACTGAACAATACCTTGTCAATTTTACAAGTTTAGATGTTTCTTTCATTAGAAGACATATATACTGGTTGTAAAAAACTGAAACAGTATAATGTGGTTTAAAGCAAACACTGAAATTTCCTTATGTACCTGCTCATTTGTTTTCTCAGAAATAGGTTCACACTATATATACTATTTTGCAATTTGCTTTTTTCTTTTTTAACTTAATCCTATATCATTCTTCCCTTAATTTGAAGCCATTATGTCTAAACATATGGGTTTAGGAGAAGAAGAAATTATGAACAAGATGATAGTGGTAAATTTGACCTTGTTAGCTTTTCTTTTTCATGAAACCCATAATTGAAAATAGGTTCTCTTAAAAGCAAGGAAATCTTATAAAGAAGAATAATTAAGATTTTTTTCCTTCAAATCTCATGTTTGTATTTTTTTCTTTGAATTTTGGTACTGTATTTTATTATATAATAGGCACAGGTTCGATACCAACAGCAGCATGAACAACAGAAAAAAGATTTAGAAATCCTCCATCAACGAAACATCCAGCAGCTACAAAACAGATTGTCTGAGTTAGAATCTGCTAATAAAGACCTCACTGAAAGGAAATATAAAGGAGACTCTACCATCAGAGAACTTAAAACAAAACTGTCTGGTGTTGAAGAGGTATGGAACGTTGGGGTTGGTCTTCCCCCCCCCCAATTTAAAAGCACATTTTAATTTGGTGACTTGATTTTAATTTGTTTACTTTATTACTTGTACGGGTGGTGTTCTGGATGCTCTGCAAGGATCTCTTGTAGTTTTAGGGTAGTCAGTTCAGACAATATGAAAAAAATGGAGAATCCAAAATCTAATAAAATGGACTAATTGAGAACAGCGCTAAGGTAAACTTGGATATTTTTTGTTGGGGCCTTGAGCAGCAGCTCTTTGGCACAGCCCTCAGATCTTTCAGTGTACTTTCAACATCAGCACAGTGTCTGTGGCTCAGGGTGCTCAGTGTTGGCAGGGCTGGTTCTTTCTTTCAGTCTACTCAACATATTAAACAACTATATGAAGTTTAGTGTCTAAAAGTAATAATGCTAATGATAATAGAAATGATAATAGCTAATGCTTACTGAACACTGTTTTATGTGCTTTGCGTATATATTAACTCATTTAATTCTTACAACAATTATTTTAAAGAAGGTACTGTTATTATCCCCATCTTACAGATGATGAAACTAAGGCACAGAGAACTTAAGTAACTTGCCCACGTTGGCATGGCCATAAGTAGAAAAGTGAGGATTGAAATCCTTTATTTACCTGTCTCTAGTACTACCTTGTTCTTTTAGGCAACAGAGACATTTAAAATATTTTGCTATAGTGGTACTTTTGTTGATACTTTGGCAGTGATGATAGACTCCTTCCTAGCATTATTATACATTATTGTCATATAGTTGTTAGAAAACATATGTAGATTTTGTTAAGTCTGTCATGTTTGAATGTAAAGATCTCCAGTGTTATTCTAGCTCACAAGACATCCAACTCCATTTGACCAGTACGTTATGCTTAGAAACTCTAAAACCTGATTTTTTTTTTTTTTTTCCCTCGGTACGCTGGCCTCTCACTGTTAGGCCTCTCCCGTTGCGGAGCACAGGCTCTGGATGCCCAGGCTCAGTGGCCATGGCTCACGGGCCCAGCTGCTCTGCGGCATGTGGGATCTTCCCGGACCGGGGCACGAACCCACGTCCCCTTCATCGGCAGGCTGACTCTCAACCACTGCGCCACCAAGGAAGCTCTAAAGCCTGACTGATTTTATGTTCAGATCCTCACAGCATTCTGTCCTAACAATTAGATGTCTTCAGTCCTTCTCACTACCCTCTTCACCTTTCACACCAGTTAGTAAAACATTTCAGCCTGCATAGTACATTGGATAGTGAATACTTCATTATAATGCTACGTGGTTTCTTCTGTTTTAGCACTGACACTGGGCAGTGTATATAAACAGTGTGCTTTGTTATGTTGATTTTCATATAATGTAATCAAAATATTTCTTCCAAGCTTTGCATAAGACTTGCAAATTATGAGTCCTGGGAATTTTCTTTTTTAAACTTCTGAGTATTGTTACCTAATTATGTTAAATTATACCTTTTAGAGATTAGTACCCTAAAATTAATAATTACTACCGTTTATCAGGTATTTACTATGTGCCAGGCAATATGCTAAGTAGTTTATGTAAGGGTTTTTGTGAAGATGAAATTAAATAATTTATGAGGTGTTGTTTCTATTCTACAAATAAGGGACTGAAATTTAAGGAGGTTAAGTAATTCCCAGGGTCACACAGAAGAGCCAGGATTTGTATTCTAAGTCTGCCTGATAGCAGAGTCTGTGTTTCTAAAACCACTATGGTATAATACTATAAAATTATTTTGTAAAGTTTTTGTTAAAACCGAAAACTAATTAGGAATACTACATACTGGGCTTTAGTATAGTATACTGGCAACATTTGGACTGATATTAGCTGATTGAGATGTGATCTAGTATAGATTTTTTTTTAATTATTTTTTAATATTATTTTCATATTTTCCATTATGGTTTATCATAGGTTATTGAATATAGTTCCCTGTGATATACATTAGGACCTTGTTATTTATCTATTTTATACGTAGTAGTTTGTATCTGCTAATCCTAAACTCCTAATTTATAGCCAGCCTGCCCCCTGGCTGCCCTTTTGGTAACCATAAGTTTGTTTTCTATGTTTATGAGTCTATTTCTGTTTTGTAAATATGTTCATTTGTATCATATTTTGGATTCCACATATAAGTGATATCATATAGTATTTCTTTCTCTTTCTGACTTCACTTAGTATGATAATCTGTTTTTAATTAACAATTATTGTCAGTTAACAATATCTCATGCATGATTCCTTGGCTACCCTTGGAAACAGTTGAAGAACTCAGGCCATATCTCACACTAATGAAATCAGAATCTCTTGGGCATGGTACCAGGCATCAGTAGTTTTTAAAGCTTTCCAGGTGATTTCAATATGCAGACTAGATTGAGAGTCACTGCTTTGGTGGTAGAATGATAGGGCTTTTCATTTATATATTTTATGTATTTTGAAATTCTGTTATAATGAGCATTTATTACCTAAGTGATTTTTTTTAAACTGTAGATTTCAAGACATCAGAAAATTCTTGTTACTGGTTTTCAAAAGTTCTAGTAATTTATTCATAAATAAGGATTGTTTTATTTTCCCTTGTTGTCATTGCATCATTGCATTAGATACTAGTGTATTTTACAATTATATTTCAGATCTACAAGTTACATGTGCCTTTAGAGAGACCTTCATTTCTTTAAAAGAATACCAGTACTAGAACTTTAAAGTTATTAAAGACATTTTTTCTGTTTTAAATATCTTAATTATAAATTACCGAACCAGCCAACTTTCCTTTTTCATAATGCAACTTTTTTTTTTTCCTCCTCTAGGAGCTCCAGCGGGCTAAGCAAGAAGTCCTCTCTTTGCGAAGAGAGAATTCTACACTTGATGCTGAGTGCCATGAAAAAGAAAAGCATATTAATCATCTACAAACAAAAGTGGCTGTTTTAGAACAGGAAATCAAGGATAAGGATCAGCTTGTTTTAAGAACAAAAGAAGCATTTGATACAATCCAGGAACAAAAGGTCTATTTTAAAATTTTCTAAACAAATTGATGGTTTATAAATGATCACGTTTATAAATGATGCTTTTCCTAAATAAACACAGATTTCCTAATTATTCATGTTTTTAAAAATACGTATCAGGTGGCTTTAGAAGAAAATGGTGAGAAAAATCAGGTACAACTAGGAAAACTTGAAGCTACAATAAAATCATTATCAGCTGAACTTCTTAAGGTTTGTTTTTAAAAACTTAATAGAATATTGATATTTCATTGGATTTTTAGAGATGTACATATAAAGCTCTTTTACAGGCAAATGAAATTATCAAAAAGTTGCAAGGGGATCTGAAGACCTTAATGGGTAAATTGAAACTGAAGAATACAGTAACTATTCAGCAAGAGAAACTCTTGGCTGAGAAGGAAGAAAAATTACAAAAGGAACAAAAAGAATTACAAGATGTTGTACAGTCTCTCCGAATTAAAGAGCAAGAGGTAGTTAATATTTTATATTTTTGCGTGTGTGACTATTTGCAAAGCATAATGAATTTCCTCATGTATTTTTAAAACTTCTACTTCGTTATATCAGAGAATAGTTTTGGCTTTTTTTCCCCAAAAGAACATGACTATAATCAATAGAATTTAATAACTTATTTCAGTTTGAAAAGTTAGTTATCATGACTCAGATACCTTGAGTGTTCATACGTATATATGTGTATGTATATGTGTGTGTATATGTAATTATATATTTATTTCACTGCTGAGCTAATTCCTTTATTATTTAATAGTAATTAATAGCTGTTAATTATTTAATGCATAGTAATACATTTCTTCAGTCTTTATTTTAGTCTTTATTATGCTTACTATAAGGATTAACATATTTCAGGTATGCAAATTACAAGAACAATTAGAAGCTACAGTTCAAAAACTTGAAGAAAGCAAACAGCTTCTAAAAAATAATGAGAAGTGTAAGTATTTTACCTTTTTATGTAAATGAGGTTTGTAGCTTTATTCTTAACCTGAAATTTTTATTTGAATTCATAAGACTAGGTAAATCAAGGTACTGCTATATACAAATAATCTGCTTTAAATGTACCATCTTAATGTCTTTGCTGTAGTAAATTATATCAACTGTCCTGTAAAACAGTTACCATCATTATTAAAAAAAACCCTGTTACATGTGTCAGTAACCCAAAATTAAGTGTTGAAAATATTAACTATAATTTACTATTTAAATTCTTTACTACTACTTGTTATAATTGCTGTGTTTACCTACTGGTAATAGTATGAACTATTTGAAACAAAAATATGAGATTAGGCCTTTAACATTTTCTCAGTTTCTGATATTGATTATGAGAAATAAGAGTTTGAATTTTAAATAAACTGGAAGGTATCATTCTGGAAATGAAAGCCTTTAAAGAGATCCTTGACTAGCAGAAATATGTGCTTCTGATAGTAAAAGAATAAGGAGTCCTATGTGGCAGTTGCTAAAATAAGAATATTTAATGACAAAAATTTAGGTGAACCTATGTTATTCTCCTGTGATATAAGGTAGTTTTAAAAACTTAAAATTAAAAAAATGTCAGTATAATTTTTAAATATTTAAAATTATTAGAAAAATAAAAATATTCAAAATTCTTTACCTTGTTACTTGTTCTTTTATTTAAGTAATCACATGGTTAAATAAAGAATTAAATGAAAATCAGCTAGTGAGAAAGCAAGATGTATTGGGACCTTCAACCACTCCACCCGTACATTCTAGTAGCAACACCATCAGAAGTGGAATTTCTCCTAACTCTAATGTGGTAAGATTTAAATTAAGATGTTGTGAGTCGTCTTAGTAAATTTTCTAAAACAAACATATTTCCAGATTGTTAGGTGCTGGTACCTAATATGACTAGAGTCCTACAATTTTTAGCACTGAAGTAGAGTTTAAGTTCCATTTGGAAGTGGGACATAAAGGTACACTTATTCTTAACAAAGAGGCTATATTTTAAGGGTACACTTCTTTGTAAGATTTTAATGGATATTGAAATCACTCAGTATTAACTAATGCCAAATGTGCTGAAAAACTGTTAACACACGCACAAAGTATTTAGGAGGCCTCAGTAAGGGAGAGCAAGGTATGGGCTCAAGTTTGACACTGTAGTGGAGGAGCCTAATCTGAATTCACTGTAGTGGAGGAGCCTAATCTGAATTCTATTAGAAGAAAAAGAGAAAAAGAAAAACCCTATTACCAGGCTTGTCAGCTCTAGATTCTGGAAGAAACTCGTTAGAGTTTTTTAGCTCCGAGTACCTGGATCTGGCTTGGTAATATCAGCTAGGTCTAGGGATTGCTGGGAACTGACCTTGCACTCAGAGCGAGGTTTTGGGGTTCTCCTGCTGAACATAAACAATTTCACAGAGTATCAGCATCAGGCAAGGCCACTCTCTGTGATGGATCAAGACAAAAACAAGACCACTTCATAATCATGTCTGAAAACAGACGAGAATATGACATTGCCAAACCACAAAAATGGGCAAGTATCCTATCCTGGCTAAAGTGAGTGACTGCTGCTCATTACTAATTATAGCTTCAGCCTTTATACATTCATCCTGCCTTATTAGATAAGATTTATTCAGATACCCAGTCATATAGTTATCCCCGTTTCTTGATAGCATCCAGTCCACAGCAAAGCCCTGTGTTCTTAAACTGTTCCTTAACTCACCTAACACATGACTAAGTCCAATAAATAACTCCCTTTTAACACTGTCTTACTGAGACACCTCTCTTACTAGGTTCCACGTGGTGTTCAGCCTTCCTTGTTGCAAAGAGTGTGTACACCTCTAGATATGTTTCTGGTGGTCTTTGACTGGAGGGCATTGGCAGAGGATTTAAAATGCAAATCCATAATAGAATTTTTAATCTACTCTAGTAAATGAGATAGTACTTAATGTTTAAAGGGAAAGGATTTGTGCTAATTTGGGAAAAGGTGCAGAGTGAAGTGCCTGGTACTGAATTACAAACTTGAAAAAACTTGACAGGCTTAACCTCAATGACTGATAAATAGCTGTGTAAAAGGTATTTTTGTCATACAGCCACTTTTGTACATGAGTGCTTATTAAGATTTGTGTTGTAATTGTCCTCTTGTAAAAAACTTTTCATGATGTTCGTTAATGGTGGTGTCACTATATTGAAAATTAGTGGCAGAGCAAATTATTTCTAAGAACACAAATACTGTTTTTACTCAATCTGGCAGAAAATTATTTTTATTTATCCCTTATTGGCCTTTTGATCTATGACTACCCCTCAACCCCCTTTTCAGTAATTTGAGGCCTCGAGGGAACCAAGATGGTTCAGAGGTCTTTGTTTTACTTCAGTTCAAAGGCAGGTCCAGTGGTTTTGTTTTGTCTAAGCTTGCAAAGCCACTCTGAAAAGCCCTCTGGGCCAAAGGTATTCCAGCCTCATGATATGTTATATAATGAAGCAGAGTTTTGTAGTGTCATTATAAACAAAATCGGCTTCTAGGATAGTGTCCTTAACTGTTAGTTATTATAAACAGATGCTAATGCCTCCTGGATCACCACATACCATTTAGAACTAATTTCTTATCCTTAACCTTTTTTATGCTTTTATTTTTAGGTTGATAGTAGACTGACTTACCCAACTTGTGGGATTGGTTATCCTGTCTCCTCTGCATTTGCATTCCAGAATACCTTTCCTCATCCTATAGCTGCCAAAAATACCATCCACCCAGTTTCAGGACCAAAGGTAGCCAATTCTAATACCTTTTTTAAAAAAAAAAAAGCAATTTAAATTTTAATTTAAAAAATTAATTTATTCTTTGATCAGTTGCTAAGTGTATTAGGTGATGTATTAGATGAATATATTTCTGAATATCTAGTGTATATGCTTACAGGAAATATTATCTACATTATATGATTTTTTTGAGTTACTATAATTTATAATAACCTAGGTATCAGTATGTTTAAACATTTTTTATTCCTGTTCAGCCTCTCCATTTTTATTCATTCTTCTACTTATATCTTCTATAACTCTCAAACTTATCTAGGATTACTGACTTCATACTGCTGGCATATTAGCTGTGGTGACATTTTGGATCCCATTGTCAGAATTTAAGGGTCTGATGGGCAGGGTTATTACAAATTATAAAATGTAGTTTTGGCAACATTATCTCAAATAGCACATGCTTAGCAGTCCCTCCAAACCTTGATTTATTTGCGAAGGCTTTTCTCTGCTCACTTGAGTTTTTCATCATTGTTACTACTGTCTTAGTTATATACACTGTTTTCACATGTATTATAATTCTATTTTCACTGTAATTTAATCCACCCAGATGAGCCACTGATTCTGTTTTCATTCCTAACTTAAGGTCCAAATTGATTTTTTCCTAAATCATGGGGACAAACATTTTTGAAAAGGATATTTTATAAAATGTAGAATTGAGGACTTTGAAACTGCTGTTATAAACTCTTTCTCAAATTAGTTTTGGGCTGCCCTAAAAATAAGTTTGCTTTGTTGCTTAGGCATGTACTTCTTTTTAACCATAACCTTATTAATTACTATTTGGAGCTATTGAGAATTCTCAGTGAAATGAGAATTAAGCCTGAGTTTTTATGCTTAGAATGTTATTATGTAAAGAGTATTTAGTTGCATTTAATTGGCTTTTCTTATATTGCTTATTGAAAATTAGATATGTGTAATCAAAGGAATACTGTTGTTTTAAAACAAATATCAGTATGCTCAAGTGTGCTTATGTCTTGATAACAGTTTTTTCTTGAGAATTATTATCAAATTCACAATTGCTTTTTTATTTTAAACAGCTTTCCAGGAATATATATAATGTCCAAAATGAGGACAGGAACTACTACAGATAATTGCTTAGTTGGTAGGACTAAATATGGCTTATAAGATTACCTTTCTTATAGCTCTTCTGAAATCGGAGGAATCATTTTAACAATCCTGTTCTTAAATACTGACTCAAGACTTTCAGTGTCTCCTATATTATTGATCTCCATCTTCTTTTGATATGCATCCCTAACAACAACAACCAAAAAACCCTAATACTAACAAAACACTTTGAGTTTGAATCTCTGATACATGAATATTTATTTATTTGTGAATTGAATGCATATACTACTCAATTATAATGGTTAAAAACATGGAATCTGTTGTTAGAGTTTAAATCCTGCCTCTGTCAGTATGAAGTTGGGCAAGCCAGTAACAAACAAAAAACAATATCCAACTGCTGTGTTTCAGTTTCTCCATTTGTAAAGTGGAGCAATAATTTTATCTATCTTACTGGATTATTGTGACTATTAAAATGAGCTGCTGCATTTGCTTAGAATAGTTCCTGGTACATAAGTGCTTCATTAATGTTATCTGTTATTATTAATAGTAAAATGTATTCCAAAATAGAAATTAAAGAATGAGATTAAAAAATGTATATAAATCAAAGTTAAAAGATTTTCTTCTCATACCCCAATGGGCGGTTGTAATCACTGCCTGCTATGGAGACCACTGATCTAGGTAGTCTTGTGCTAGCAGCTATGGCGATTAAAACATGTTCCTTTTAGTTGCGGTAAAAAAAAAATAAAATTATTTAATGACATTGAATCTGTGATATACCTAATTTCTTAAAATGTTACTGTCAAGATTTAGTACATCAAATAGTTGTTTAACTGTGAGGATGTAGAATAACATGAGTTAAATTAAGAAAGAAACAAAATCATGCTGAAGGAAATACATAGGAGTGTTTTAAAAGATTGTGCCATGCTGACAAATAGAAAGATCACTTGATACTTTTAAAGCAAAATAGACAAAATAACTTGTTTCTTCACTTTTATTTTTGAAGACAGTAATCTCTAAGGATTCATTCTTTTGGTATATATTCAATGAATGTCTGCTATGGCTAGACATTGTTCTAGTTGCAAGAGATATAACAATGAACAGGACAAAGTACAGTTTGTGGTAAAACACATTATGATGGTAAACTGTAGTATCTTTCAGACTAACCTGTTATTAAATAGGAGATGTTATTTGATGTCAAAGAAAGTACTTGTGACAGAATCTCTTAAAAACTTTAGAATATCTGATTCTGATTCTTTTTGTGTGGCATAAATTCACAAAGTCAAACATGATCAGATTTCATCCTGGAGATTATGCAGTAGGTGAGGGATTTTCTGCAGTAAGAAAGGAACTGAGATCAGATGATTGATTAATTTTTGATAGTGTTTAGCCCACAGTGTTTATTCAGAGACAGATTTTTTCTAGAGATAGCATTTCTCAGTTTGATTAACCATCTCATTCCACAGATGGTTCTAAATTAATTTTTATTTCTTTTGTATTAACTATTTAAAAAATAGATAAAAATATATAAGCATGGGAAGCTCCCAAATATTTAAGAGGATGTATTGTCTAAATGTACCTCCTGTGGTCCCTAGTCTCCTCCTCAGAGAAGAAATCTGGGGAGTTTTTTGTGATATATTGGAAACATACTTAAAATATATATAAGGATATATGTATATGTCTGTATGTTTGTATACATGAGTGTTGGTATAGATAAGCATAAATAGTACATGCCCACTGTTCTATACCTTGCTTTTTTCGTTTAACAGTATTATCATGGTACAGGTCCATTTTCATGTATTAGAATGTAAGTTTTTCCTTGCTTGTTTGTTTTTAATAACTTAGAAGTATTCCAGTATATGGATGTACGATAATTTAATAGTGCTCTGTTAATGGATGATTAAGTTGTTTTCAATCTAGATAGTCATACGTGTTTCAGTAGTTATCTTTGTATATACTTCTTTGTGTCTGTGTACAAATAGATTTGTAGGATAAATTCTTTCTTTTTTAATTAATTTTTATTGGAGTATAGTTGCTTTACAACGCTGTGTTAGTTTCTGCTGTGCAGCAAAGTAAATCAGTTGTATGTATACATATATCCACTTGTTTTTTAGATTTCCTTCCCATTTAGGTCACTACAGAGCATTGAGCAGAGTACCCTGTGCTATACAGTAGGTTCTCATTAGTTATCTATTTTAAACATAAGAGTACATATGTGTCAATCGCAATCTCCCAGTTCATCCCACCCCCTCTTCCCCGCTTGGTAACCATAAGTTTGTTCTCTACATCTGTGACTCTTTCTGCTTTGCACATAAGCTCATCTGTACCATTTTTCTAGATTCCACATATAAGGGATATTATACGATATTTGTTTTTCTCTTTCTGACTTACTTCACTCTGTATGACATTCTCTACATCAGTCCATGTCTCTGCAAATGGCACAATTTCGTTTTTATGGCTGACTAATATTCCATTGTATATATGTTCCACATCTTTATCCATTCCTCTGTCAGTGGACATTTAGGTTGCTTCCATGTCCTGGCTATTGTAAATAGTGCTGCAGTGAACATTGAGGTGCATGCATCCTTTTGAATTCTGGTTTTCTCTGGTTATATGCTTAGAAGTGGAATTGCTGGGTCATATGGTAGCTCTATTTTTAGTTTTTTAACGAACCTCCATACTGTTCTCCATAGTGGCTGTACCAATTTACATTCCCACCAACAGTGTTGGAGGGTTCCCTTTTCTCTACACCTTCTCCAGCATTTATTGTTTGTAGATTTTTTGATGATGGCCATTCTGACCAGTATGAGGTGATAGTAGTTTTGATTTGCATTTCTCTAATAATTAGTGATGTTGAGCATCTTTTCAAGTGTTTGTTGGCCATCTGTATGTCTTTGGAGAAATGTCTGTTTAGGTCTTCTGCCCATTTTTTGATTGGGTTGTTTCTTTTTTTGATATTGAGCTGCATGAGCTGTTCGTGTATTTTGGAAATTAGCCCCTTGTCAGTTGGCTTTGTTTGCAAGTATTTTCTCCCATTCTGTGGGTTGTCTTTTCGCTTTGTTTATGGCTTTCTTTACCGTGCAAAAGCTTTTAAGTTTCATTAGGTCCCATTTGTTTATTTTTGCTTTTATTTTCATTACTCTAGGTGGTGGATCAAAAAAGATCTTGCTGTGATTGATGTCAAGGAGTGTTCTACCTATATTTTCCTCTAAGAGTTTTATAGTATCCAGTCTTACATTTAGGTCCTTAATCCATTTTGAGTTTAATTTTGTGTGTGGTGTTAGGGAGTGTTCTAATTTCATTCTTCTACATGTAGCTGTCCAGTTTTCCCAGCACCATTTATTGAAGAGACTCTCTTTTCTCCATTATATATTCTTGCCTCCTTAGTCATAGGTTAGGTGGCCCTAGGTGCATGGGTTTATCTCTGTTCCATGGATCTATATTTCTGTTTTTGGGCCAGTACTATACTTTTTGATGACTGTAGCTTCAGAGTATAGTCTGAAGTCGGGGAGCCTGATTCCTCCAGCTCTGTTCTTCTTTCTCTAGATTGCTGTGGCTGTTTGGGGTCTTTTGTTTTTCCATACAAATTGTAAAAGTTTTTGTTGTAGTTTTGTGAAAAATGCCCTTGGTAATTTGATAGAGATTGCATTGAGTCTGTACGTTGCTGTGGGTGATATAGTCATTTTCACAATATTGATTCTTCCAATCCAAGAATATGTTATATCTCTCCATCTGTTTGTGTCATCTTTGATTTATTTCATCAGTATCTTATAGTTTTCTGAGTATAGGTCTTTGGCTCCTTATAGGTTTATTCCTAGGTGTTTTATTCTTTTTGATGTGATGGTAAATGGGATTGTTTCCTTAATCTCTCTTTCTGATCTTTTGTTGTTAGTGTATAGGAA